TCCATGTCATGGATCAACTCCAGTGTTCTTTTCCTCGTCTTTCACTGAAAAACCTCAGAGAGATTATCTAAGTTATTGCTTCTTAATTGTGACTGACACTGAGAAAATTCTTATATAAACCTGTTTTCCGCACTTTGAAACTGACTGGCAGATAACAGCAGCAGCAACAGTCGAATGTGAACAGTTTTACTCAAAATCGGAATTTTCTAAATATAGACAATATGTGTCAAACTCGAGGCCCGGGGGCCAAATGTGGCTCGCCAAGCCATTTTGTGTGGCCCCCTAAATTCCATACAGCAGAGTTTCTTAAACAGAAAAAATATAAAAAAGTTTTTTATAACAAATCAAATAATAATCTATTACAGAAACATGTCTTAGTCTGTTATGGAGTACAAAGGACCGGCCTTTTTTGTTCCAAGGACCGGCAAGTACCACCGTTACCGTAAAACCTCCTTTAAAATCTATTCTATTTGTCCGTCTGAATGAGCAATTATTTTAATTATTATATTGCCAGAAATCTTTAAATAAAGAAAGTAAATGTTCCCTATTTAATCACATGATTTCATTTGAATTAGTTAAATTAGTAAAAATTAAGTAAATTATTTTCACTGTGTCCCACTGCGGCCCGGTACCAAATGACCTATGGACTGGTACTGGTCTGCGGACCGAAGGTTGGTGACCCCTGATCTACCCAGTCTTCCAGTTACAATCGGCCCTTTAAGAGGAACTGCATTGCTGACACCCCTGATTTAAACCAACTGTTCCAATGCACCTGCACGGTTCTGCTGTGTTTTCAGGAACTGAAGATTGATGGCTGCTTTTACCTCTTAGGTCTGAAACGTAAACACAGAGGGAACACACAATGTGATGCTTGGACTGGGGTCTCCTGACCGCAGGTGTCATAACTCAGAGTGTGTTTGTAGACGTTGGTGGACAATTGTTTTAATGATTTAAACTGCCTTCCCCAGAGTCTGCGGTCAAATGACTGCCTCTACTTATATAAGGTCATAACAGCCAACGCTACGATTATTTTTCTCCCATTTTTAGACTCATTTGCTTGTTATTCCATTCTGCTCCTAATCTCTCGCAGCTCTCTTCATCCTCACACTTGTTTGCTGCACTGATTTATGCGAGGCTTACATCATGAGGTAGCCACTCAACTGACCACCAGCGGAGAGTATTTAAAAAGTCCGCCTTTTGTTCCTGTAGCCATAAATCTGCAGATTCCGTCAGTGTCACGCGAGCAAACTCTCCGGCGTTCTCGCTCTGATCCCTGTGTGTATGTCAGCGCACGCTTTAAACAAAAATCACCACGGCACTCACCTACTTCTCATAATCCTGGTCTTTTATCTTTGACTTTGAGTTCCTGAGAAAAGGCCGTTGTGACAGCCAGTCCTCACCCCC